CAGCTTTTTATAATTCCTGCATAAACCGTATTCCGGGAATTTAGAACTTAAGGTTAGTTTTAACTATAGCAAATAAAGAGGCCTTTTTCACAAAAATAACGGAGCTAAATATTCTGACCTGTAAACGACGGTCTCAAGTAAGTTGCTTGGTAGGTACTAGGTATATAAATTAAAGAACAATTTGAGGGGCGACAATGCAAAACGTACTATTGCCCAAAATATCAAAATTGAGTTATATATCATTTCTGATAGTAAACACCGCGCGGAATCGAATTTCGTGGTCAGATTTGGCCAAAACGTACTTCCAGTGTATATTTGATCATAAAGTTTCATGATTTCTGCATAACGCACCATTTCCATTGCTAAAATCGTGTCAAAAAGAACTATTTCCAAATTACACCAAAACGTACTATTTCCTATGCTATTTAGTGTAAACTTAATAATTATTGAATCAAAACGTACTATTTCCTAAATTATGTGCAGAACGTACTATTTCCAAATTGAAGCAAGACGTTATATTATTTCCCATGTTAAAATGTAGCTATACTGAATCAATTATTTGCAAAACGTACTATTTCCAAGTGTAAAAGACGTTGTTGACATTTCAATTTTAATTGTTTTTGCTTTAATTATTTAATGGTAATATATTATGGGACTCCGTTATTTTATCTTATTTACTAGTTGGTGCAACTGATAAAATTCAGTATTCTTTTTGGCGCTGAATGTTTAATCACAAACTTTTCGCTCCAAAAGTGTCTATGATGGACGATGGTCTATGATGACTATCATTGTATTATGATAATATACTTCACCTAGGTACTATGCGAGACGCGAGTTGTAGGTACATACACAGTAAAGTTCATTGTATTAATTACCAATACTTTTATGTACCTACAATATTAATGTTTTATTTGCAACAACTTAATTAAATTATTCAGCTCGAGAAAAATTTAAATGGCCGCATGTGGTCAAACTAAAAACAGAGAAGAAATGGATTATAATGAATCCCTTCGAAAAGTGTCAAGGTGGTTAGAGGTATGAAAAATTGAATTTATTGGTTTACAACTTTACTTATAGAAGTATTTTAATTATATTGTTAAATCATTAAATAGTAGATAAATACTTTATTATGCCTTTTTATTACTATAATACCTAATAATTTATAGGAATAAGTATTTCAAGAAATAAAATAAAATAATTTTATAATATTTTAATTATTTTTAGATTCTGAGTGGAATGATGTATTGATTTTACAATGATGTGTGTGTTTTTTTTTTTTTAATTTTTTAATTTTTTTTTGTGTCTGTACCTACACGATAAGTAGTCTAAATAATGCTTCGATTTTCAACTTCAATATCTTGTTCGATTGGAAAGTGAATACCGTTGGTGCATTGGGGAGGTCAAAATTTAAAATTCCCAGTAATTTTCAAAACCGCAAAAAAAAACAAAATTAAATTAAGGAAAAACGGGAATTTTTACTCAAAATCGATTTTTCACAAAATTGAATTTTTCTTTTGGTGTAACATTAAAACAAATGACCGTAGTTACATGAAATTCTCACTGATTGTTAATATTTGCATTTTCTATACACGATAACATTTTCAAAATATTTTGATTTATTTTCAACTGTTTAGGGAAATTTTCATTTTCCATTTTTTTTTCTAAAAATATCAATAAAATTTTATTTGTTGGTTAAAAGAGCTTGAAAATTGAATAGAAGGCTCCTAGTATACTTTTTCAAAGGCAGATGAAAAATATTAAAAATCCATAGTCATAGTTTTTTTTAAGCATTTAAAGTTCAAACATTGACAAAATATGGAAAAATCACGAAAATTAGCAAATTAGAGTTAAGATTCATAAAACTTTTTCTATTTAAATCTAAGATTTTAAAATGTAATACAAGATTCCTTATAAGATTATCTACCTTTATCAAAAAAATAATGTCAATGAGAAAGTCAAATTAAATTTTTATGAGCGTTTGAAATTCAAATTTTTACAACATTCACTCGATTTCTCATGTAGAGATTTCTTTATTTTGTTGTAATTCAAAAACGAATAACTGTAGATACATGAAAATTACACTGAATATTTATATTAGCATTTCCTATACACCATACAATTTTGGAAATATTTTGAATCTTTTTGAGCTGTTTACGGACAATTACAGTTTTAAATTGTTTTAGTTTTTTTTTTCTATAAAAATCAATATTAAGTTTTATCTGTTGGGCCAAAAAGTGTAAAAATGTAATACAAGGCTCCTGATATATTGTTACAATATCAGTTCAAAAATATTAAAAATATATATTCACAATTTTTTTTTATAAGCATTTAGAGATCGAATTTTGACAAAATTTATCAAATTTAAAATTGAATAATTATTTTTAGTTAAAAAATTATAAAATTTTCAACTTTTATATCTAAGGATTGAACATTTAAAACAAGATTTCACGTGAGTAGTTAATTCTGTTGCCAAAATATCTAAAAAATACATAAGCAAATTTTTTTTTATAGTCATTTTAAGTTCAAATTTGGACGAAATTACATATTAAAAAACCTAGAATAACTATTTTAGTTATTTTGTTGTGGTTGTATTATTATTCGTGGGAACTTGAAACTTCTAAAGTACACCCCCCTCCTCCCTTCCTGTAGTCGAGTACCAGATAACGATTAACGGAAATCAACTATAGAAGTAAATATAATGGTAGATCAACATTACCTTGATACTTGATACTGACAGTATATAAGTATAGAATATTACGGGCTCTGTTTGAACTTTTAATACTTAATTTATATTTTTTATGAATAAAATTCTTTTTGGCACTATTTCTGATTTCGTAGGTATTTAATATTGAACATTTACAAATATCCAGGACACTAATAAAACCAACCACCCACAATGATAAATTATTTTCAAGCTGTTTAAATTTTCTAAATTGATATCATACATTTTATCAGTATACCTATTGGTTATTCCCATGCCAAAGTTCGGCATAGCGCTTAGGGGTAGGTATAGGCATATAGCAGTGCAAATAATATAAATATACCAGCGTATTCAGTCATCCTAAATACATAGGTATCATGTACAGCTGTTTTTTACTTACTGTGTTACAAAGGGTAATCGTTTAAGACTGTGTAGTTTGAATAGGTATCTAATTGTGTGGGTATATTACGTCATTATGAACTACGATATAATTGGTAGGTACATATTTTTATAAAGGCTTGTTCTAGTCTACTCTATAATGGTAATTTAATGTAATTTTAAACAATTTAAGTTGATTTGAATTTTAATAGCCTATAGTTTTTATTTAATAAGATATTTTATCAATCATATAATTTAGTACATCCAAGAGGATACCAAGCTTTTAATTTGGCTAAAATCTGTCGTTTAGATGACTGTAGGTCATTTTAGGGGACCCTTCTTAATAAAGTCTATTCTTTTGTTTTTCAACTGTAGAGTGCACAAAATCCCCTTCATTTTGTGTGAGTCCTACTCTCAAAATGTGTGGGCAATAAAAGGAATATCTAAATAGTTAGAAATACATACAAAAACAAACTGATCATAAATTAAATTTTTTTGCTGACTTGAAAAGTAAGCAGCATGACTAAATAAACAGGCATGATCACCAAAAAACCTATTTTTCCTATCAGTGCGCATTTTCCCCAGACTTGGCAGAAACAGTAAAATTCCTATGTAATTGTAGTGGGAATAAAATTTTTTCTAAGAGTTTTCTATGATATTAGTTTTTCTTCCAAGTCTGGGGAAGTATAAAATATGCGTGAAATAATCTAGTGATCATGCCTGTTTATTTAGTCATGGTTAGCAGAATACAAAATTATATCTTACTTTACTTTTCTTAACTTTTTTTCTTTTTCAAACTTAGCTAATTTCATTTCATTTTTATGTTCCTCCAGATATAAAGCGCTGGTTGATCTTTTTTGGGTACAACAAATTGTATATGTGTTATAATTTGTGTTAAACAGATGTCCATACGTTGATAGTTTTACTGGTCATATATTGTTTTCCTCACATTTTTAAATATATAATCTATGCATATTACATAAAATAATCTGGGGAATAATCGATGAATTTTGAGTTGTCGTGTTGCACAAGTGCGATATAGGTATTTCATTACTGTTATATTTTAAACTGTAGGTATACCGTAACTTAAATACGCTTTAATGAGTAATTATAAAACATTTAAATATTCAATTTAACTACTGCATTCTTCAAATAAATTATATATTATGTGTTCAAAAATCATAAATATATTTAAAACTGGTACCTATTTTTTTATTTAAACTATTCTGATGTTCGTGTTCTTTAGTTTTTCTACCAATTTCATAAAACCAATCAAAAATGAGTAGTGCATATTATCGATTGAAAAACATCGAAAACTTCAAAGATCTACTAAAATCGAGGCAGAGGTATCAACTAAGATATCTATAACTGAAATACAAGATATTGAACGTGAAAATTCAAATTTTCCTTTGGAAGTTGCTATTGTTAGAAATGTGTTAAATGAATCTCAGCATCTAATACTGCCAACCAGTATTAAAGATAATAATGATTTATCTAACCTAACAGATTCATCTCTAGAGTACTTAAGTAGATCACCAGATTACAATCCAATGGATTATAAATATTTTTCTTACGACAGGTTTGCATGTTAAACCACCATTTTCTAATTTATCATATGTATTTTTATCATGCAATTGCAAAAAGAATTTGTACATTTTAGAAATATTAAGATCAGATGACAAGTATTGTGTGTTAGAATTATCACACCTACTGTAATGTGATGATCTTTTCGGAAAACTGGCAATGTGTGAATGTATTTTAAAAATTAAATCTTCGGGTATCTTATTTTGACGGTTCATGTGTTTTCTGCGTAAATCTACGGGACTAAATTCATTTATTTTTAATTTTTTGATTAACCTGTCCACTCTAGATTTCCCAATACCAAGCAGCGAGCAAAATGCTTTTTTTAAAAACATTGACATTAATCTCTGATATTAATGCGTATTTTGAATTTACATGAGCAAGACCTTGTAGGTCCATCTCCAGTCTTTGATCTACGCCTTACAATTTTATTAACAGTAATAAGAGCACATACATAGGTATCTTGTTTTTCCTTACTACCCATACTGTTTAAAATATCAATCGTTTTATTTTTTTCTTCCTCGTTAAATTTTGAAAAATAATTTAGTGGACATTTACAATCCATGCCAATTTGTCTTTTTTTTAATACTTTATTTTTATAATTACCAATAAATTCAATACCTTCACTTCTTTTCTTTTTTTCAACGTTTCTGTTCCACAATGAACGGTTACGTTTTTTTCTTTTAATGCCAGTTGATGTTGATGGTTCGTTAATATTATTCATTTCATCGTTTGAATCTTCTATGATATTTGAACCATTCAAATCGACATTGATATGTTCATCTTCATCATCACTATTAAGACAAAGAATGTCATCTAAATCGGAATCATTATTATTCATAATTTCGAAATTTGGATCGGCAATGTCTTCATCGAAATCATCTGACGACGTTGATGAATCCCAGTCAAATATAATATCGTTAATACGCGTCTCTTGTTCATGTTTATAATTTCTTAAAAATAACTAGTTAATACTAAAACATAATACTAAATAATGCGTATACTTAAAAATTAATAAGTACCTATTATCAAAATAACGAATTATATTATATTATAGTGTATCATACAATATAGAACAGTATTTAATACTATAATTTATGATATTAGTTATAATGATAGTACCGTCAACAGGATAATATTATGCAGTGTAGACAACGTGGCAAAAGTTCATGGCAAAAACCAAATAGCTCCGGAGCTACCTTGTTCAAAAAAAACAAGACAGCTCCAAATATGTTATATTTAATATACTGGTTGTTGGATTTGTCTCTTTTGGATTTGTTCTTGTACCGATAAACTTGTAATTTTTTGATTTATCAGTAGAAAACATTGTCACGCCATCATCTTTATCTACCATAACTACAGGTGAACCAGAAGTAGTTTTGACTCAATCTATTTTTGATGCTATGATTGATGACACATCTTTAAATGCAGAATTGGAACCAGGAGAAAGCATTAAAGTTCAAAATGAAGATTGCTTGTCAATTGGTAGAATTTCTAAAGCAGGATTAATATATTTAGCTGGCTATACAGCCTTCAAATTCATAAACAAAGACTTATAACAAAGTATGCAAAAGACTGGCTACTATAAACAGAAATATGTGCGAAAAAGTCGGGAGCGAATATTATTAGATTATACACATATGACGAGATACGATGTTAATGACACTTAAAAAAATCATTAAACCATTTAACCATTGTAGGTACCTATGTACAATGTACCTAATCATCTTTTAAAAACTTTTATTTTTAAAAACAAAATAAATAATTTACCGCTTGTCTAAAAGTCAATAAACTTTCTTTTAATTACCATCTAAATAACAAAAAATTAAATAAACTTAAAAATAAAACATAGGTAAAATTATAAAATGTTTTTTTTTTTTAGCAGACAGAATAATTTGTCCTGTTTGTGGATCAAAATATGAGCTAAGAAATGAGCTGAGACAACATATCGTAACCGATCACAATGAGACTGTTGAGGAAGAAAATCTTGTTTTTGAATCTGACAGTGGTAAATATTAGCAAATACATTAATATAAAAATAGGTAGGTAGATGCAATCATAAACTACAATTTATTAACTGCAATAATTTTAGTATCAATAATAAATTTAATTTATGGTTTTAAAATTTTGAACAAAAATATAATATCATAAGTACATAGGTACCTACCGAAATGCAAATAAAAATATTCAAATGAATAACATATTAAAAACAAAACGGTATAGATAATATTAGTTTAACCTTTATAATAACTCCTAAACTTAAAAATTTAAAATACATTAAAAAAACAATGAATGTATAAAATTAGTATGATAGGTAATTGAATGAATAAATGAAACAATAATTGTAATAATTTTGTATAATGGTAATAAAATTTAATTTAATAAATATTTATCTTTGCAAAATAACCAAAGTGATACATTGTATATTACAGAAAATTTAGTATAAATTAGATTGCACCATCGCAAAGCTTGGGCTGGGGAGCAATTCTTATCTGTACAATAGTATTAGGTAGAATACATGTTTTTTTTTAACTAGGTATCAAATAAGAAAAAAAGTAAAGAGTAAATACATAGTACCTACCTAATTAGTTTAATAACATTAATTTTAAACTGGATAAGTCATGAATTTTAACATAGCTTTTGATTAATTTCAAATTAAAAAAATGATTAATATTAAATATAATAATTGGCATAATTTAAGACCACAAAAAACTTTATATTAAATAAGTAAACGTTTATTTATATATTTTTTTTTTTGTAGCTTGTACTATAATCGTGAGCTAAGCCGATAACTTAATGTTTATTTTTGTTAAGTTCCACTAAATTGGTATTGAAATTAAAAGTGTACCTAAAATCATTTACTTTTAGTCCCTTATAAATTAATGTGGTGCCTACTTGTATGAATTGATAAATTAAGTAGATATTTATTTAATTAAGATTCTGTCTGATCTATATTAATATCACCACGTTAAATATTTAAGTACTTATATTTAGTTTGAGACAATAATAAATCAAGACTTTTAATACAACTTTTTAGATTATCATTAGGTGATATAAAGGGTGATATACATATATTATATTATTATTAAAAACTAATTTGTCTCTTATAATTATCCTATAGAATTTTTAAAATGGAAGAAAACTGTCGAATGTGAAAACCATTGGTTATATGTGTGTCATCGAGGAATGAGCAGAAAAAAAATGGTACCAAGAAAAAAGAATATTTTTGTCATCGTGACGGGTTCTATAATGAATATAAGAATCGTAAGAAGCAGCTCAAAAGTCAGGGATCTAACAAAATAAATAGATCCTGTCCTTCAATGATGAAATATAAAAAAGAAGATGGAGTAGTCTTGGTACAGTTTATAAAGTCACACATTGGACATGATGATAATATTGGCAGATTAAAACTTAAAAAGGATGATTAATAGACAAAGATGTGCTATCTTTGTATTATCTAAATTTATAAATAAATCTTAATATTAATTATTAATTCAGGGAAACTCAAATCTGGTGTTCCACTTGATGTCATACTTGATGTAATTCGTGATCATGCATCAGATATTCATGCTGCACTTACTACAACAACGAAACAAGATTTACGTAATATTATAAAAGATTTTAATTTGGATCCTACTCGTTCACATTCAGATGACGCTGTCAGCATAGACATTTGGTGCACCAAAGTAAGTGGTGTTAATGATCCTTCATTCAACCCTGTAATATAGGTACTATAAACGACAAGGCGATCATTCTGATAATGAAAATCTGAATGTTGAAGATGTCCTTTTGATTAAATCTAATGCATTCCAAAGAAAAATGCTTACTAAATTTAATAACAATATAATATGCATTGATAGTACACATGGAATGAATTAATATGATTTCCACTTAACTTCATTGGTAGAAGTTGATGAGTACGGTTCTGGTATTCCTGCAGCATTCTGTATTTCAAATAAAAAGGATACAAATACATGGTCAATTTTTTGAAAAAAAATAACTGAGTGTATTGATATAAATTTACATCCAAAAGTATTTATGTCAGATGACGATGACTCTTTCTACAATGCGTGGAAACAAGTGATTGGCTCTGCACCTAATAGATTACTGTGCACCTAGCACATTGACCGTGCTTGGAGAAATCAACTCCAAAGAAAAATAATAAATGTCGAGAAAAGAGCATTAGTATATAAGGCTTTAAGAATCTTATTACAGGCTACTAATACTGAAGAATTTCAATTGTTATTAAAAGGCTTTATGCAAGAAGTAATGGCTGATAATGAAACCAGTCCATTTGGAGAATACTTTAAGTCATACTACATCACTAGACAGACAACTTGGGCATATTGCTTTAGAAAAAACTGCGGCATCAACACTAATATGAGGCTAGAAGCCCTGCACAAGGTTCTCAAATACTTCTATCTACATGGACAAAAAAACAAACGTCTTGATAAATATATTGATGCTCTTGTAAAGTATTCCCGTGACTGCCTCTTCAAAAGATTAAGAAAAATTGTTAAAAATGAGAGACCAAGACAACTGAAGAATATTGCAAAGAGCCATAGCTGAAGAAGTGCAGGTAAATTTTAACCAGGCCACAAGCACATGGTCTTTTCAATCTCAGTCATCAACAGATATATCATACGAAGTTGAATTAGTATGTGAAAATGTTGGAATTTGCAGTGATAATTGTATAATGATATGTGAACAATGTGAGCCAAAAATATGTGTTCATACATTTGCTTGTGAATGCGTTGATTATTTAATTAAAACAAATATCTGTAAGCATATTCATGCTACTGTAGCATATATGTCCAAAGATCTTCTTACAGATGGAACTGAAGTCTCCCCTTGTTTCGAAGAAAATACTAAGATTAGTGAAAGGATTACTCACAATATTGACACTTTAGTACCATTATTCAATAACAATTCTTCATCAGACATTGATGATAATTGCGATATTCGTTAAAAATAGAGACACTATTGGGTTACTTCTCTCCAAAATATCACTTCAGTAGTGAAATGAAAAATCAAATTATAAAATCTCTTGATCGTTGTTTGGAGAAAGTTCAAATAGAGACGCTTAAGGCTACTAAAGAAGCGAAATTGACACCAGTCAATAAGAAAGTTGATCAACAAAGAAGACATTTTTCCACCAAAAAACCAATGAAACAGACCAGTGGCTTGGTGAAACCAACATGTTCAGAGAATACCAACATCAAAGAATATCTGAGAAATCCTCTTACAGCCATTCAAAATGTACACACACAATTCGTGGTTACAATTCGGTGGTTACCCCCCCGAAGGCCGAAATGTTTTCAACATACCTTATTTTTAACCAAATATCAAAACATATAAATTCAATAAAATTACAATATACATGTTTTGGACCCACCTCCGAAAAAAATTTCTGGATATGGCCTTGCAACTGAATATAATATAATGACATAAATTTCTAATCATATTGTGTACTACTTTACTTAGTATATTTATTAGGCAGTGGTAATGTGGTATTTAGATTATGTCGATTATGATTTATGAGTCTTAACATAGTAACTGGTAAGACAAAAAGTAATAACATATTAAACTATATACTTATATATTATTTATGTGTTTAGGTAGTTTCAGGTAAGCATTAAATAAGATTGTTAATTTATTATTCATTATTATTCTCCTAGACTCTACGCCATACATGTCAACTTATTGAACTTAAATAAACAATCTTACATGTAACGATTCATTATTTGAATAATTAAATATGGAAATAAATCATTATACGTTATTGTTTATGTTCAATATCATTAAAATTGAAATATTTATCTCGTATAAATATTACTGAAG